GAATTGGTGATAAGTATGCATTTGCCTAGGCTGGTAATTTTGGATGTGTATGTGCCTGAATTGGCAGTGTGCGTTTGCAAGCCTGGTGGGGGTGCATGCACCTAGAGTGTATGCACCTAACTGATTTTTGAGTATGTGCCTGTGCAATTGTACACCACGCCTTTCTAACAGCGCAAAATTGAGATCCTGAGAGTTGGCCTGACCCCACAGGGCAACACTCCAGCTAAATAAACCCAGTTCCCTCAGACGTCACGTGTGCCAGCCCCTGACCATTTTCACTGTTCTCCACTGGACTCTCTCCAATGTGTCCACATCCTTTCTATAGTAGGCGGCCCAATACTGGACACAGCACTCCAGATGTGGCCTCACCAGTGCAGAACAGAATGGAATAATTAATCTCTTCAATCTGCTTAAAAATGAAGCTATAAAGCAGATGGCAAGCACTTGGGAGTTCTAGGTTTATTTTTGGCTCTGCCAGATTTCTTGCCCAATTGGGGCCAAGTCAATAGTCCCATATTCAAAGTACCATAGCTGCAAATTAAGGACATAATTAACCTCCCCCCTACCTCTCCTCGAGATATTCAATTCAGTGATGTTAATAAATGTTGGGTTTAGCAAGTACAGTTAAAGAAAATGTAAACTGATTACTAGTTAAATTGGAAAGTCAATGTTTACCTGCAAACTCATTGAAATGATTTCCAATATCGTATGCCAGGTAGTTGTATCCAGAATATTCATAATCAATGAACTGTACATCACCTATGCGAGACACAAAAGTGAAAACATAAGTGTTCATATAAAATAAACCCTGTACCCTAATTCTGTGTTGTCCCTAGACATCTGCCAACAATATAGTCTCATTTGTGCCCAGCTGCATGCACTCTTGAGACATTCCAGGGTAAGGCTGTGAATTTTGTGGTATGAGCTTCCCTTATTTAAAAAAAAATAAACAACAAAAAACCCCTCCCCTGATCAACAGCTTGCTTGAACATACAAAAAGTTTTATTTAAAAAAAAAAAAAAGAAGGTAAAAAATCCTAAAAGCCTATTTCATGAAATTTCCAGGTTCCAAGTTCTACCACATGGGGGCACTGGTTGCCTTAAAAAAAAAAAAAAAAGGGAAAAAAACCCAAAAACCTATTTCATGAAAATTCCCGGGTTCAAGTTCTACCACATGGGGGCACTGGTTGCCTTAAAAAAAAAAAAAAAGATACTCAGATGTTGTTTGAGGGAAACACTCATAATTCTAAAAAACAAAATCTCCTCAAAGTATAACTAGACAGAAAAATAGGACTACTGGTCCTGCAAATGGAATTATACATTAAAATAATTCCAACTACCCTGACAAGTAAAGGAGTATGGCTGGGCTACAAAATGTGGTAGCATGCATGAAGTCAGTTTTGTAAGACAGCTAGCTCTCCTCTCCTAACTTTTCAAGCATCTTCCAGTTTTGACTAGCTACATGAATATAATGCTTTTCATGTAGTGTGACTGAATCAGTCTCAGTCTCAAAAAAGTGCCACTAACCCGTACAACATCATCAAGCCCTAAAGAAGTAGCAATACTGTCCCAAATGCTACATTGTTTACTGGTTTGTTTGGTTTTTTTTACAATATTAAAACAGAGACATTTTATCTAGCTAATCAACAGGGAAGCTAGGGGAAATTAATTGCATCTAGACATGGCCTTTGATACTCCTCTAGCAGATCTGTACTACAGCAATGAGTCAAGGTACAAGGAAGAAAGTGAGCTTTAAAAAGTAAGTAAAACAGAATTGTTACAGAACTTGGTTTCTTAACTGCAGTCATTTACTAAAATGAGAAAGGGCAAAGTGATGCCAACTTTAAATTATTCACGGTGGTAACTTCAAGTAGACAATTTCCAGTTCAATTTATAATTTTATTTCCAAGTACTGAGCTGCAAACAATTACTAGCTTACTCAATTACAGCATGAATGTGGTTCAGCTATTCAACTCCTTTCAAGCTATGTAATTATTCCTTTCTAGGTATCCAACTGAATTGTGCTGACTTGCCACAGGTTTTTCCTTAATAAAATGTTATACTACAAATTTTAATTACACTTGAGGTAGAAATTTTAGTGACTATTTCATGTCATAGTAATAGTCTTGTCATTACTTATGCTGGCTTTTTTGCCTTGAGGCCAAATTTAGAAGTTAAGTCCTTGATGAAATCCAACTCTTATTTTAAAATTAAGACTATTTTAAGGTTATCTGAATTATACTTGTAAGGGAGGGTAATCATTCTGAAAAACAATTGTAGTACAAACAGTACTTGCTTGTAAGACTTGTGGAGTTTAAAACAACATTAAGGCCCATTACAATGCATTACTGGACACACCTCAACATAAAGCTCCCCCAAAGTCAGCTTCTATACAGGACCAAATGCTTTGATAAGGTTTTTTTCAGTTCCAGTGGGTATATCTACATATGCTTTTAGTGCAATGCAATGAAACTCCAGCACAGTTCCTACCAGAGTTAATGGCTCCTGGGCACATCTACAAGTGTGCCTGCAAGTCTGAGCTGGGGGAGAGTAGCCCCCTGCTGTGTTGGCTGGGACAGTAGAATGCCCAAAGAGCAGAGCTGTGTAGCTAGGTAGCAGATATAGGTCTGGCCCCTGCTGCCTGGGCTGACCAGGAGCAATTTACACCCATATAGCTCTTACATGTGCATTTAGGCAGAGTTTTTTTTTCACTGCCATAAGAGAGTATTGCCCTTGGTAGTACTATCTTATGGCAGTGAAAATTAGTTTGCTGTGGTCTAATAGTGTTGCGCGTGTAGACTGTGATACTACACCACAGCATATTAGTTTACTGCAGTTAATACACCCAGTATGAAGAACATGTATTTCAGGTTATAGCCAACCCCTTTACACTTGATGCCTCCCTTACCTCATTTATGGAATATGTTGGTTAGCTTCCGTTCCATAAAATTAAAAAGACAGGCAATGTAATATAACAGGACTGCTTGAATATCTGCCAACTTCTCACTCCTTTCCCCTCCAAACTTGTATTATCCTTTTTTCCACATTAAAAAAGGTTTTGTGTCCTGCCTACGTGGCTAATAACTAGTGGTTCTGTCAGACCAAGATGAGAAAGTGAATTACAAAGCTAGGGACCCCTCACAGAAAACTTCTCAATGACAGCATACAAATGAGATTATCTTGAATCAATTTACGGGTATTTAAATCACTAGAAACTGATTTTACCATTGTTGCCCCAAAGAATTACAGTTAAAAATAAATAAATAAAGCTAACATTTAACTTGAACCATCTGCAATTGTGAGGTTCATGAAATTGTGTTGGTGTTTCTTGCTTGTTTCTTAATATGTTGATTTCTTTACATAAGTAATTTATAAAGCTCAGTGGTTAAATATAAATACCAGTTAAAAATGCACAGCCCAACCCTGGTTAGCATTTTCACACAAAACTGAACTAGCCAGAGGAAAAAAACAAAAAACAAAACAAAAACCCCAACTGCCCAACCAGTCAACATTTCCTGGATTCAGAATTTTTCATGTAAAATACATAAAAATTGCAGGTAAAAATTCTGCTTGCAAAGTATCAACTTAAAACATTTAAAAATAAATGCATTTTTTTTATCCAAGTTCTGTGGTACCATTAATTTTTATTACAGATAGCCTTCATTTTAAAATCTCATTTCCAGTTACAGTTAATGGTATTAAAAAAATAAGAAAACGAAGCTAACAAGATACAGATGAGGCTGTTACCAGGCTCTGCGCTCTCCTATGGGGAGGTGCATGTGAACAAGTGAAGCGATAAACCTCCAGTCAGTGCGTTTAAGTAGCAGGGTGCACGCCGCCACATGGCAGCAACAATGGCATACCTAATCTGTAGCAGATGAAGAAAATTTGGCACACTCACATTTGATAAGACACAAAACTTTAAAGAGAAAAGTTCTGCATTTCACTGCTCTCCTTTTTCAGACCCATAGTACTGTGGAACTCAACCTTAAATTTAATGTTTTGCATGAAACATTAAAGATGCACAATTCCCTCCAATTTTCTCTCAAGAAAATAAGACTCACACAAAACATCATTTTGTAAATACCTGGCAGACCAGATATTGAACTACCTCAATTTAGTAACCAAACAAGAAATTTTTCTGGCTTATACTGTTATTCTTGGACTTTTCAGCTTGATTTATGTTTAACAACATAGGGACTTGCATTAACTGTAACTAACAATGGAGAAGAGCTCATCCAGAAGGGCTGCTATTTTTCAAAATGCTGCATTCTGAGTACTGCATACTACTACCTAACCAGTATTTTAGGGTGGGATTTCCTAAAGTACTCAGCATTTCCCCATGTCTGCTCCCACTGACATAAATGGGAGTGGTTAAGCCAATGTTAACTGCTACATAACCCCGTACTAAATCAAACTGATGGAGAACCTTTTTACAATTTCATTAGCATGTCAGAGGAAAAACTCCATTATTAATGCTAATTCTTTACTACTGCCTACTGTAAGATTTCACCCAGAGACAAAAGGTATTTCAAAACTGGAGACAGCATTATGGAGCTCATATTATTCACTTCAAGTCTGAGAAGCAATTTTATGCCCTCTATCAAAGACTTTAAATACTGCTGACTACATATGATTTCACTTTTCACATAAAAATCAAATGCATGATATGCAACAAGCATTTCAATCCACGTGGTTTAGTGTATTTGACGTTGCATTTAGTAAGTCAGAGGCCAAGTGATCAAGAGGGCAGCTGCTAGCTGTCTTCCAGGAGATGATAGGCAAAAGATGACGACACTTCTGTTTGTGCACTAGAAATGGCTGGACACAAGTAAATATTTTTCACCCAAGTCATTGCTGTAGTTGCTGCACAAATATAAAATCATCATGGGTAGGATAAGAGATGATTTTTGTGAGTTAGTGGGAAAGGAAGTGACCTGTAAAACAATTTCTGTATAAAGAGTGACCCATATTATAGAATGGGTTGAGAAACACCTAATGCAGTAAAGAGGGTTCAAATAGTAGGTGTATTGCCTTCTCCTCACATGGGCACCATACGGAAACTTCTGACTAGAGAACATCATAATTTTTCAAATATAAAGGCCTAATCTATATTCAAATTAAAATGGACTTCTGGGCTAAAGTTCTAGTGTTCAGAACAGAGAACATAATTAGGTTAATCTGATTTTTAAGTTCTGAGTGCACAAAGAAGTTTTTAACATTATCAAATGGGAACTGTGAAGTATTGTTTTCTGGAAAGAAAAATAAATACAGACTACTTAGCCAAGTCAAGCCGCAGTGACAGATGATTTACAGCTGGAGAGATGGGAGTCTGAACCTTGCTCTGGACTGGTGCCAAAAGCTACCCTCAGTCCACCCAGCTAAAGTGGGCACACCTGATTTGTACAGGCTAAGGAGGCAAAGGTAGCTGGATGTAAAGGCTGACATTCCTTCACCATGCTAGTTTAATGGGCTACTCTACTTGGATAGACTGCTGACCATTTTGACTTAGCTGTGTATCTCTTTATGGTAAATATTTTAACATATACACTAATCAAGAATGGGAAAAAGAATAGAAAGTGTGCTACAATGTTGAAAAAAACTGTAATGATAGGTATTAGTATTATCAGAGCATAGTGACAGATTCATGTCTTTGAAAGCTCCTCAGGACAAGTGTCAAGAATATCAGAACCAGAGGCTTTAAAAATTAACTGATAGCTGGGGGCCATTTAAATATAAATACATAGTTCAGCTATGAAACTATATTCAAGCAGAGGTGAAACTGAGGTGAAACTATTTGAGTTTATCCTTCACAGAGTAATTTTTGTAGACAATTATGAATCTGTTACATAATGTGATGCCATTGAAAAATTTCATATCCGGAGTGACTAAAAGCAGACATTAGCAAAAACAGCAAGAGGCCTTTTTTTCTAAGCCAGAGTGTGAGCAAATTCAACCCATCTGCAGATGAGTGATGAAGTCTATTAAATGATGCCAGAACGCTATTCTTCATTTTAGTCCCTGTGGAAAGATGGTTAAGGTTTAGATATTTAAGAACGTTTACAACCTTTCTGTGACAATTAAAAAATGGAAATAAACTGGGAATTCAATCTAGCATTTGAGAGGACAGCATTAAGTAAAGTGTGGTGATAAAGCACCAGAGCCCTATCTACACTAGGAGGTCTACAGTAAACTTGCCAACTGGTAATAATAGAACCAATGCAAATAATGGGTTCTGTCTGTACAAATTTAGACAGTACTTCTAAAAAGGCAAAAATGCAAATTAGTAATTAATAATACAGTTAGAACTTTATGGAACAAATACAAAAAAGAGGGAGGTTGGAGATGTTGAGACAAGAAGCTAGTTGATACTAACCCCCTTAGGGATCAAAGATAACTGCAAGGTATTTATCACCTAAATCGATCTAGAAAGATACTACAAGGAATTTATGCGATTCCCTCATCAGTGTAACTTTTAGCCAGCTTCCTACATTAGACGTATCAGAGAGTAAAGTGCATCTTTAAAGAGTTTTCTTTGTATTCTCATTGCAGTAGCTTGCAAAAAGAATTCTTCACATACCAATAACAAATATTTTGCTTGACAGACTTGCAATGATTCATGCTTATTTTTAGTTAAAGTTAAAGCTGAGTTCCTACTTCAAGAATAGACTAAGATTATAATACATAACACATGGGTTAAAAGTTCTGCACTGTAAAAAATTTACAGCACTGAATACACAGCCTTTACTATATGCAAATCTTTGTATTTTGCAGATGGCATTGAGGTTTGGTTACTATAAGAATAATACCTGTTGTATCTTGGGTTTGCAGAGATCTTACAACAGTGTACATGATGTGCTGCAACATTCAAGTATGTCAGTTTTAATGGACACAGTCTAGCTATTTCATATATTTACAAATATTTTCCCATTCAGTTATTCACAACCAGCTTGATGCCAAAGTGCTTTACATTGAGATTCCTCCCTCCTCCCCTCCCTGTCCCAAAACACTAAACACTCACACACTGGTTATTGTAGGATTGCTCATAAGTGAGGTACTGCTGGGATTGTTTTTCCTCCATTCTGTTTACAAAAAGAAAAGCATACAGCATTTGTTTCAAAAATGGGAAATTTAAGTCTACTGACTGTGACAGTGAACCTTTAACTGACTTACGTTTCTTTTACTGCTTAAACAGTAAAGTATGGTTCTATCATGAAAAGTGACTGTAAAAAAATAGCATCCTTAAATCAATAGGTCCAGTCTATGTATCCAGGAGTATATCTGCTGAATTTATCAATAAAAATAAATTGTTAATCTATTTAACTCCTATTAGTCCAGCAGGCCAACATGTCTAGAAGAACAAACTGAATTCTCCCCCACTCCCCCTTCAATATAGCAACATTTGCTTAGAGAATTTCAGTCTATGAAACCCCACTGAAATAAGGGCTTTAACATTTATGTTCTGAGTGACATACCTGTGCAAAGTATTTTACAGGTGTAATCAATGGCTATTTGGCATGAAGAACATTTGCTAGTAGCAATAATGTTCAAATAGAAAAACAATACTCAGAAGACAGGTTATGTATTACTGCTAGAAGATATTTTTCACTTTGTATGATTAGAAAAAGCACCTTTAATGTAGAAATGGTTGAAGCAAACAACCAATTTTCAAGTTAGAACCAACTTCTATGTTTTCTTTCTGGTCAAATTTTATGCAGCTTGTAAGGCACATAAGCTAAACTTTGAGATATTGAATCTTCAAAACTGCTGAATGCTTGATGGAGCACACTTAAGTTCTATTCATATTCATTTCATAATTAAAAAAAAGTTTTTGGCATTAATGCTAAATAATCGCCAAGTTACAAAACAATACTAAGTCCGAAATCCCTCTTTACAGAGAACCCTCAATATCTGAATTGCGAGCCTTCCTACGATTACCAACACGTTTCTACATGATGAACTTGTTACATTCATTTCAATTTATAGAAATTTGGGGACAGGAGGAAAATTGAGTAGGTAGGTTGAATTAAGCATTTTATTTTCACCTTAACATTACTTCAGTGTCTCAATTTTATCACTAAGTTCACCTTGTTTGCGTGTTGTGAATGTATCGTTTAGTAACCGAACCTCAAACCACTAAACAAACTGAACTTTGAAAGAAATTAAGGTTATGTTCAGATTTTCTAGACATTTTCTAGCTTCCTGCGTTTCCTTTTAATATAAAGATTCCTCTCAGGAGTTCAAATATTTGTTATTACCAAAATAAAAATTCAACATGCCACTGCCAAGATGTGCAATGCCTACTTCAGTTGAAAAATATCTTCAGTATTAAGTTGCCTATGTACCTCATATGCAGAATATAAACTGAGCCATTGAAAGTCACATAAGTATCATTACGATACTTCATCATGTGGGTCTTCTTGGCATCCAATATCTCTGATAAATCAGAACAATGCATTGATAATACAGTCACCTGTAGAGATTATTTCCTAAAAGTGTTTGTATGACTGACAACCATTTCCACTTTAAAAAACCCTAAGAACACAAACTTGATACTTTGAAATTTTTGCTCAAAATTATCTATTAACAAACTTATTACACTGAAACTAAGAATATCAAGATGTGTCTCTGCAGACTAAAAGTATTTTAGAATTGAACTCTGGTTACAACTACAAAAGACAACAAATATTTATAAAAATACCACTACTGTTGCACCAAGCTTTATTTAAAAGCAGCAAATGAATTTGACTTGTTACCATTAGTAAAACCTTAGTGATTTAACAACTACAACACAAGTATAGAATGAAATTTTACTTACAGCTGTGTTCAATACCTACCTTGTTTCTTGTTGTAGATAATATTCTTACACAACAGGTCATTATGACAGAGAACCACTGGTGATCCTAGATTTGACAGTTTCTCCTTCATCCAGGCCATTTCTTCCTGAAGGACTTGAGGACTTGGAACATCACTTAAGAACCTTGTTGGGGTATAAAAAAGTTAGAGTTGTCTGCTGAACAAAGCAATACCATATTTACTTGAATATAAGATGACCCTGAATACAAGACAACCCCCCAAATAATTAGATTCTATACAGGCAACCCCCGCTTAGAGCTCTTAAAACTGAGCATTAAGCAAAATGAGTGTTAAGTGAAACCAAAAGTATTTGATGACCCAAGATGGTGACCACAAGTGTTTTTAAATGACCCAAGACGGCAACCATGAGCATGATAACAAAACTAGCTGAGCGTTAAGTGGAATCAGGTATCAATTTAAAATGAGCATTATAGCGAAACAGCGCTAAGTGAAGCAGCATTAAGCAGGGGTTGCCTGTATAAGGAAAATTTATGCATTTGTTAGTTATCACTTTCCAGGTACAGAATTTATTTGAGGTTTGGCTTAAATTTGTTCCCTCCCATTCTTACAGCAGGGAAAATAGATTGGGGGGGGGGAGGGGGGGAAGGGATCAGGTAGCCCTCTGCTCCCCTAACTTCTTCCCCCTGCAGCCTCTTTTCCCTCTCCTTACTGTTAGACCCTCCCTCCCTGACCACATGGAAGTGAGAAGCAAATTTGAAATTGATCCATTTTATCCTTTTTGAAACTGCTTCAAGTTTTAGCACAGGGCCCAACTTTGGTCCCAACTTACAGGTTTTACAAACTGGGAGCATCTACATGTGAAATTAGTGCACCTCAAACTCTGGTGCAGTTTGGGCTGGAGTGAATTGCTCCCAGGCAGAACATTTACATGTGCAGTGCAAAACGTTGAGCTAGGATGGCACAGCCGCAGCTAGAACAACCGGAGGGGGGCGGGGGAGGGTTTGCCTGCTGGCCTGGAGATGCTCCACCCTGGCTAGATGTGCTGTAGAGATGCTGGCTGGGGCATATGAATACTGTGTGGGGCTAGTTAGCAGGCAGTCTCCATACTGTAGCACCTTTGTGCCACAACCAACTCTGGTTACCATCTACACATGCATTGCATTGGAGTAAGTAACTCTGCCAGAGAATAGTACTTTTGTTGGGCAGTACTCTCCTATGGCAGAGTTAATTAGTTTACTCTGGCTTCATAGCATTGCATGCATAGATGGTGATGCTTTACTGCGGAGCTAATATAGTCAACTCTGCAGTAAAGTGCACATGTAGATGCCCTACTAGGTATGTTATTAGTCCGAAGCCAATAGGCTCAGGATTTACCATATAGTTCACTGGGGCCGGGCCCCAACAGAGACTACAGCATGTCAAGTCATAGTGACCTCACTGCCCCCTACCCCATAAAAGTTCCATGTGCTAATAATTAGCCCCCACTCATGACTGCAACTGGGTGTTCTTGTCATGAGTCCTGGGATCCTCCAAAAATGTAGATGCAGATAAGACTCAGAGCAACTTGGCCTGGTTCCTCCTCATAGAGGTTGGGGCCACAAAAATAATATGCAACAGGCTAAAAGGGACCAACAGAGGGATTCTGGGTGAACTGTTTGGAGCCCCGTTTGGTGATGTCTGCCGGACATTTAAGGCTAGTGAAGAAACAGGAATCATTGGAAGTGGGAAAGAAAAAAAACAGCTCAGGTCTAGGACTGAAGAGGAAGTCAGTGTGGTAGCTCACCTTGATTTTAAAATGAGCTGGTGCTAAGGTAGACTGTACACAATGAGCTGCACTAACTTATCCTTCTGGTGGGTTCCCATCAGCATGCTTGCCAAATGTGGGCCATGTGTTTTATAGCTATGCTCAGTTCTAGCTGCATTTAGTCAACTTCATAGATGGTTTCTATTACTGAGCACATACTGCTTTTGGCAGCAGTTAAGTAATAGAAAGTGTATTTAAGGAAGTTCCATTATAAGATGAGCGGCTTTTCTCCCCATGCTGACTGGGTGAAAAAAATTCATCTTGTGAATGAGTAATTTGGATAGCATTTGCAATACAAGTTATACTGACATTTTATTGTTAGGATCTCAAGGCAAGCCAGGGTGCCACAACACCCTGTTTGAGAATCACTGCTTTACAGTAAGTCATAATAAACTCATTTATGCAGCCCAATTTTACTACAAGATTTTTTACCTCACTTTTCAGCTTTCCAGCAACATCTTTCATGTAAAAAATTACATGCAAGTTATTGATTTTAGTTCCCTAATTTTGCTAAGCATTCAAGAATTTAACATTTAAACTGCATCCTTCTGGCCAACACGTGTTCTTGGGACTAACATGAAAGTTTAGGATATGAAATACTGTAAAAGTACTAGTTCACTCAATCATAGAATCAGTGAAACTGCTTCATAAGTTCTAGTAAGAGGGAAAATAAAGTAGCAGCTGTGTTACTAGCACACAGTGGTTAAACACAGTCAAGTGAACTCTTCCTTCCCACTGGAAAACACCCTGCAAGTTAAAGCTACTGAGCTGCACAATACAGTATAGCCTCATAAATCCAGATACAACAAACTCGAATTATCGAAAATCCAGCACTTTTTAAAACTACACTCCATCGGGGAGTAGTGGCAGCTGGTCCCGGAAGCTTGCATATGGCAGCTGCCACCACCATCCACTACCACATGCTGCCACTCCATGTGCAGCCGCTGCTCCAGGACCAGTCACCACTACCCCCCTTCCCTTGCTGCTCCAGGACTGGCCACTGCATCGGTTTCAAAAATCTGGAATTTCCACATTTCCAGCAGGTGCTCAGGCCTGAGCATGCCAGATTCATGAGGTTATACTGTATTACTTAATGGGTGAACAGACCTGTAAATTGAGAGAACTATATAGAAGACTGCTCGTAAACAATATGAGGAAAAGGACAGTACCCCTTCCCCACCATTAACTCACTAGCCCAACTTCAATATTTGTCCCTTTGCATTAGTCCTTTTTTTGTTCTTTAAAAGAGACTGAGGACTTTCTTCCCCTGGAGAGAGTTTACCTAGTTCTCTAATACAAAGTCACTCAATGTTTCCTCCTTGTGGTATGAGGATAAAGTAACTGCCTTTTAACAAGAAACATCACATCAGAACAAGAACTACTGTATTTTCCCAAATCCAAGACAACTCTGAACTTAAGATATCCCCAATAATTAAATTTGATACCTGGTAAAATTCTATAAAATTGTTATAATAATTCATGCATCACACCTCATGTTAAATTCATCCCCCTGCCTCACACTTGCTACTGCAGCAGGGAAAGCAGTGGCAGGGGGGCAGACTTGACCCCTGGCCCTTGCCTTATCACACCTTACCCCCTGCAACCTGTCCCCGCCCCCATTTGCTCCCCCTGCTACATGCTACCACCTACCTGCACCACTGGCACCTATCCTCGACATCTTCCCTCCCCCTCCTCTTCCACAACCACTTACCCATACTCCAGACCTACTCCATGCTGAGGCATGGAGTACATTTGCTACTACCGTGCTGGGTTGGGGTCCAAGTAGCAGTGGCAGCAGCTCTGGCCCAGGCTCCAGGACCTGGCTGGAGCTGCTGACAGTGCATCAGCTATTACTGGGCTGGGGCAAATGTGTGCACTGTGGCCCAAGCAGGGCCATACCAGAACTGGAGGAATGAGGGTGAGCAGCAAGGGAGCTGAAGCAGTGAAGGGGTGGAGACCACAAGCAGAGGGGCAGGCAGCAATTATGGTTCCAACCCTGTCCTGCGGTTATGGTGAGAACAGCCACCTGCCCCCATATACCCAAAACCAAGCCAAGGGACTTCTCATGTTAAAAAGACCTCTTCTTCTATTTGAGGAAATCAGCTATATAGAAATGCAACACCAATAAACTTGCAATACATTTTACAAGACTTGACATTTACAAAGCTACTTAAATGATCAACAGTACTGCTTAAACAAAACCCTACTCTGCATCACCATGCAGGGCTGTAATTATATGCCCTTTCTATATACTCCCATGTTAATGAGAAGAAAGCACAGAAAATTCAGAGACATTTAAAGGAAAATATGCAATAAAAATAACACTTACCTTTTATTTACTGCCTCATCTGTAAATTCTGTGGGTATGAGAGAGAAATACTTCCCCATCTTCAGCCACATGTTAGATTTGGGGATCCATCCATTATGTGCATGAATAGTATGGATTTTAGCGAGTTGCCTGGCTATAAGTCTGTAAGATAAAGTTTAAATGTTTATTTTGTCCCAGACATCTGGCTAGTTAAAGCAGGTTGCCAAAACACCCACTGGTATTCCTGGCATCAGAAGAATACAGTGAGGACATGCACAGAACCTTGTCACAGGAAATCAACGAGGAGTCACGGAGGATGAGAGGAGTGTCAAGTAAAAAAGTGCTGAAGATCATGAAAGATTTCAGTCATAACTTTGTAGACCCAATCCTGGGAAACTTTCATAGAGAAAGAAAAAAAATATATATATTCCCTTTAAAACTAAATAAAGTAAGCCTTGGTCCCAGCTCAGCATTATTAAAATATATAAAACCTAGCTGCTATATAATGATTTAAAGATTTCTAAAGGTTTGCAAAGGCACTATTAAAAAAGAAAAAGCACAAGACAGCTGCCAAAAGCTTCTTATGACAAGAATCCCTTAACTATGCACAGAATTGCACTTAACTAATGGCATGGTATTTAAGCACTTCTTAATTTGTAAACAATCTGAAAATGATAAAATAATTGGTTTTATCCATTTATCCAAGTAACTGAATTTTTCATAGCCCATCAGTGATCGTAAGAGACATACCAGTATTACGTCACAGATTTGAATCAAAATCTATGACATTTAAAGATTTAAAAAAAAACAAAAAAAAAAAACAAACCTAAAAATCAGTTTACTGGAGTTTTTTCATTACATTTCAGTAGCTTTCAGAAAGCATTGTCTCCCTTTATAGTTTTAACTATAAACTGGATCTTGAAACTGTTAGGAAAGCAGGCTTGGTGATGGTTGTCATGGTATGGGAGCCAGCAGAGAACCCTTCATTGGAACTTACCCAACAATTTTGCTCTCCCTACAGTGAGCAGTTTTCATACTTTTGGTTCTCTTGAAATTTAAACACCTTTCTCTAGATTCCTTTTTAATAACCTTCTACTGAAATTTTAAGATTTCAGAGGACGAAGCCTGAAAGACTTAAAAATTCTTTCCAAAATAAGAAGGTTTTCCCTCCAATATTTAATCTGGGGGAAGAGGGGAACAGGCAGAGGTCTATGGCCAAGAAAGAAAAAAAAAAAAAAAAGCTAGGCCAGTTTTTCTACTCTGAAGTGTGCTCGTACTGAGAATGCCAGAGGAGAGCAGCAAGTGCATGCAAGACATCTACTTCTTTCACAAACTACACAGAGTGAGCAAGCTGTGGTGGCCATATGGAAGGAAATCACTAAACTGCTGCTGGTGCAGCCAAGCAAGGCATTTGTATGTAGCTAAGAAGCTACATCCTTGTCCACCAGGCATGTTTTCCCAAAAGCATACTGCAAGTCCCTGTGCAAAAGGCAACATAATCTCTGCTGCATTCTAAGAAATTAAGTATTTTTTTTTTAAAAAGGCTTACCTGAAAATATCAGGATTGCAAACATGCTCTGGATCCAGTGCTTCTCCCTGCATGAACTCGTAGCATAGACCATTATTGAAAGTGCAGTACAGCTGCGGTGCACAGCCATGGGCCTGCAACACTCGGAAACTCTTCACTTCCTCATCCCGGTCTACTAAGAGTTCGGTCTTGTTCCCATAGATTCTAACTAAGACCACATCATCCATCTCATCTCCCACATAGCAGCCAATAAGTTTATTGGTGATTCCATCTGTGAACAACTGCAATATAAAAATAACACATTAGCTATTCCACAATTCTACATCTGCTTGCTTGTACACATGCGAAAAGAAATCCACTCATTTTCTTAATTACACGATCACTCTTTCTGCGGATTATTTTTTGTTTGTGGAGGATTTTTAGCTAGTAGCCAAAATGTTTGCTAGTCCATGCACTTTAATCTTTTAAATAAGAAAAAAAGAAGATAAATAACCAATATGGATAATTAAGTTTTGTGGAAAATACACATAATTAAACTGCATTTCAAGGTGTTTTCTAATAGATGACTAAGGGGAACAGTGAGAGAGAGACTGGAAGTTACAAAAACAGCAACACGGGACTTAATTTTAAAAAATGAGTTTTCAGAAGTGGTTTTTATTCTGTTCCTCAGCATAAGTTCCAGCAAAACAGAACTTCAGCCATACTAGTAAACGTAAGTACAGCAGATATGAAAACTGTTATTTAAACTGGAAGGATAGCAAGGTATCATTTTCTAAGTTTGGTGTTCACTGCCTGAATGAGCGTTAAAGAGATCCATTTTGGACCTTGATCTTCCTTTCAAGGCCAGCTGAGGGGTATTTTTTTCTGTTTTGTTCTTGTTTTCTTTTTAATTCAAGAAGAATCCAGTGAAGGTGATAAGCGATTTTATCATGTTAGAGCCCCAGTGATCTCTTTTGTCTAATATCTGAGGCGTTCCTGGGTTAGGTGCGACAAACCAGGAGTGACAAGAAATAAGTCACAAGCTGGCAGAGGGTAAATTCAGACTAGACATCAGGAGACGCTACTTCACTGTCAGGACGGCTAGGATCTGGAACCAGCTTCCAAGTGAAGTGGTGCTGACTCCTACCCTGGGGGTCTTTGAGACAAGGCTAGACAATCACCTTGCTGGGGTCGTTTGACCCCAGTACTCTTTCCTGCCATGGCAGGGGGTCGGACTTGATGATCTGCTCAGGTCCCTTCCGACCCTACTAACTATGAAACTATGAAACTCTGAAAGCTAAAATTCAAACCTTCAAGTAAAGGAATTAGTACTCTGTCTTCAGCCCCAGGTATTCTAGACTTGGGTCTAAAGAGAAGGACACGATGACCTCCCCAGAACGAATAGTTTCAGGCAAGTCTCATTAGCCTTTTGTATTCTCTTTGAGAGCTATTTACAAGTGGCATTTCTGGCATGTGCTTCTCAAAGAGGCACAATAAACACCTTGTATGCCTGTCATTAGAAAGCATTACTGCCTTGCATGAAGAGCAGTTTTTTAAGACTGCAGACATGGTTTTCAAGTCACAACTTTAGACCCAATCTTGGAAAGCTCTCTGAGAAAGAAAAAAAAAATCTCCTTAAAAATAAATAAAATAACCTGACCCTACCCAGCATTATTTTATTTTATAAAATAATCTTTATAAAAATTATTTTTATACACATACATACACCCCCCCCCAGCCCTAATAAACAACTGCTACATAGTGACCTATTTAGAGATAAAATGGGTGGATTGCACAATAGATATGTATGTGGAACACTACAAGTTCTGACTCTGGGTCTTGAATGGAAATGAGTAACAGTTGGACTTCTGTGCCTTTCACTCACAGACATAAGAGGCAATGATATAGTCAAGGGCCCAGAATAATCTGAATGTGAATAAGTGGTCTGTGTTCACACCAACGGTGGAGTATGCACAGACATTGGCCCCAAAGAACTCAAGTGTCAAGTCTCTTAAAAGGGAATTCTATTCTTTGCTCAGCTTTATGTGGAGTCCTAGGTCTAGGATATCTTCAAGATCATAGGCTCTGGGACTGTCACATCAGTGCACTAACCAAGCGTTGAATAAGCAAAGTGGAAGGAAGCCTGGCAGATTTCCCTCTGGAAGATGTCTGTTTCAATGACATTCACTAAAATTCAGCCATAGTCACACAACCAGGCAGACTACCAAGGCTGGTTACATTAGCCATAATTTTTCAAAGTGCAAGTGTTTAGTTTTTCAACACACAAAACATTTACATTCCCAGGCAGCAGGCTTAGTTTCAGAAACAATTAACAGAAACAAAGAAGTGACTGAAAACATTGATATTCCCATAAATACTAAGTTTACTGCAACACCACTAAAATTTTCAGCGTAAAGAGGGACAAGCAACTCAAAGCTTTGGTTCCCACAGCAACCACCATTTGTATTCATGTAGTACGCATCTTGCTGCTTATGCAATTCTATTTACGGTCATAACATATCTTCTCTCCCCCCTTAATCTTTAGTTAGGATTACTATAATAAACAGCCTTTACAAGCATTACATGTGGATTATTGGATGTGGAAGTAGTCAGAAAGTTTATTTTGATGATTCAAAGGAAGATAAAAATGCCAAAAGATTATACACATTTGTGTGTCACTGATTATAGGAACATACTAACTGCTTAGGTAAGGTGATTACAAACATTTCATTAAATCAGGGGTGCTCAACCTCCGACCCACAGGCCAAAAGTGGCCTGTGAAGCCATCTCATCTAGCCTGCAGGACTCCCCACTTGCCCAGAAATTTGGCGGTGGGGAAGTGGTGGCCATTAATACAACCACCCTCCCCCCTACCAAATTCCTAAACCCAAAGCCCCACACACCTGGTGGGAGCCACGCCATGTCCACCCCCCTCCTGCCCCTGCAGGTCAGATTATGTCCCCTTCTCACCAAGGACCAGGCCATGCCCACTTCTCCCCCTGCAGGCCAAGCCACTCTGCTTCCCCCATGGACCAGGCTGGGCCCAGGCCATGACCCATTTTTTCCTGGGGTGGGGGGAAAGGGGAGAAATGAGAAGGGAGGAGGCCATGCTCCCTTTCTCCCCTATGGGGCTGGGTCCCCCTCTCCCCACACCTCCATCAGGCCTGGTCATATACCTTTCCCTTCCCTTCTGCACAACAGGTAAAGCCTCCTTCCCCCCTATGCAGGGTCAGGGTCAGGCCAGGCTGTCCCCCTCTATCTGCTCCTCTCCATCTGGCAGGATACTGGATCAAAACCACCACTGAGCCTGTGGGTGCAAAAGGTTGAGTACCACTGCATTAAATGGTCATTTCCAAAATTTAAGTTTAGAGTTCTTAAAAAGGCAATGTTCAAATATGAACTGCTCCAAATAGAAAGATTCCATTTTCTTTGATAACTGAACTGAAATCTGTTTGGGGAAAATGAGACCGACTTCTTTCTTTAAAAATTTCATAGAGGTAAAAGTGAAGAGGCCTTCTCTACCAGAGTCAAAACATGAACTATTCAGAGACCACCCAGTTTAAACTCAATGTAAGCTCTTGGATCTCCAGTCTCTCTTGGATGGATGTTCTTGCTCAAACCTTCTCCTCCCTTTTGTTTGCCCTTTTTCTTTTTATCCTCTGGGGCTGCAGACCAGACGAAATGAAAACAGGAAGGAGAATACCAGGAAAAGTTCAAAAGATTTACAGGAGCTCTGTGGCTGAGTATTCAGGTACTGTCATATAGATTTTTATGAAAGCTCTGTAGAGCAGGTAGCTTTTCTTAAGATATCCTTGTCCTGCAAGAAGTGGTTCCCACAATCAGAGGTCTGAGCATGACGTCTCTTATGAAGTTGACTTGACCAAAATTATTAAAAAAAAAATATTAATATGCTGACATTTCTTGTTAAAAAACAAGGCCCATTTATAAAATAAGACTGCTTAATAAAAAGCTCTGAAGTGTCAAAAGTAATTTAAAGTCCTTTCAGCTTAATAACATCTTTTATTTAAGCCTCTCTCTTTAAAGAGGACTCCTTCTCCAAGAACAGAGTCTGATTTTGACTCCGATTGGTTATTTTTCCACATCCAATAGGAAGATATAAATCTCTTATAATGACGAAAAGTCTCTGCTCATCATAGTTCAGCTGCCCCATCAATACCCGAGTAAACATCACGATAAAGTGAAGGTGATAGCTACAAAACCTTGAGAGCACTTCCAGCAGAAGTGGGTTTAACTCTAGACAATTAAATAGTTAAAATTGTCAATGTCAGAGGAATAGTTTGAAGCAAGGCACTGGGATATCTTCTGGGCCAAACTGCCATAAAATCTAATGGATTTATTAACCAGTTCTGGTTGAGAACGACGGGGACTTGTGATGTATAATTTATGGACAAAGTTTACTTCCATGTATCCAAACTATGACATTTCTTAAAGAAAAAAATAAAAGGACACAAATATATCAAAGAAGATGATTGTACCAATTTTAACCAAACAAATTTAGTGCAGTTTTAACTCTGAAGTCAAATCCCTAGAGCACAGACGGTCATTGCTGGGGGACTCATAACTGACCCAGCACTAGCCTCTATCTGAAAATACTATTTCAGACAACTTGCAGGCACAAAATTTAAGTCCCTAGGTTTTTTAAGAAATTTGTCTTGTTTAGTTTCACACTGGCTTACTTCGTCCTTCACAAGAAATGAAAATATGAATGTTAACAGTTCTTAAGATAGCTACAATTATTATTTAACACTACCACTTGTATGACCTTGTTTACAAAGTCTGAAACAACTTGAACTAACAAGTTGAGGCATTCAAAACCAAACTAGAGGATTCATTTACAAAATCCCATTAAATGGGGTGGGAGAGGCAGTACTACATTCCCTACTTAGTGTTGAGTGTTTCTAAACTAGTTCCAGTGATTAAAAGAACCTGTACTGGCAAGAACAGTGTATACCAGAGGCTCTCAACGTCCAGCACACAGGCCAAATGTGGCTCTCGGAAGCACTGCATCTAGCCCACAGCACTTTCCATAGGCCAAGACATTTGGCAGTAGGGAGTGGTGGCCATTAACACAGCCTCCATTCCTCTTGCCAAATTCCCAAACACCAAGCCTCGCACACCCAGTCAGAACCAGACCATGCTCCCTTCCCCCCATGGGGATGGGTTGGCTCAGGCCATGCCCCCTTCCTCCCCTGCAGGGCTGGGTCAGGGTTGGTCCATGCCCCGTTTCTCCCCCATGCAGGCCAGGACACATCCACCCCTCCCCCTGCCAGTGGTGCCAGGC